TCGTATGTGATGCACTGATTGATTGATTGATTGATCGAATGAACAGCCGTATCATTTACCAGATGTGACAGGTAGAGAAGACAAGTATTTCAATCATTTCACACTTGTACTCATCTTTTAGCGGGAAATAAAACAGGTAGACATGTAAGCAGCCCAAAGAAGCGTCATTCACTCTGTGCATCCGCATCAGCAGAAACGGAGAGGAGTCATTCTGGGATCTTTGTTGATCTGAGCAGTCAATCATGCTTTTGCTTACTTAGTTCATATTGCATACGAGACTGGAATTAGGAATGACAACAGAATTGAGTGGATTTGGAAGACATTCAAAACAGCTGTAAATTTAAAGGCAGAATAAATGCCGTCCAAGCCAGAGGAAGGTAGCTTGTAACACTTGTGATAATCAGAACTACTTCTTAGATTACAAACAGCTGTTTTCAACGATTCTTAGATTATAAATGCGATAAAACAGTGTAAGTGATTGAGCCACTGGTTGGGCGAAGTTCACTCGTCCACCTGGAGAGGGGAGGGGGAATCGATGATTTCTGGGTGGCAAAACCTCACTCTCGGGCTCTCTTGCATTTCTAGATGAAATCGGATGTGTAATCTATAAGACCCCCCCCCATTTATTGATAAAAAAAGCATTCAATCGTGTAGTTCCGCTAGCTATCAATCGTCTAGTGGTGTACGGTTTTACGTCTTATCCAGGACAAGCTCTAGTACCCCTAAAGATTTATATTGTCACTTCTCGTCCACTTTATTTCCTAAATGATTTCGCTAATTCTCAACGATCGAAGTGTCCACAGCCTCATCTTTGCACCCTGATGTGCATGAAACTAGAGTAAGACAAGGGAATGCTGTGTAGATAAGTTATTATTCCAGAAAAATCGTTTTTTATAGTTGTGATTGATGGTGGAAAGAAGTGTTGGATCAAGACTTCCAGGACAGTTTGATTCATGAGAATGCCATCGACAATTGTCAGCTCGATCCTGCCTTACCCACGTGTGGCTCTCCTTGTACTCACCGATCATCCATTGTGCTACACTGTTGTAGTCATCAAATCAATTTTATAAGTTTCAAACATATCTCCCAATCTGCCATTGACAGTAACTCTTTAGTGGTGAAAATACGGATTTGTTAATTGAAATNGATTGACTTTCATTAATCATTCCTCCATATACACCCGGATGTCCACTCCAAATGTACATTTCGGCGACGTTCATTGACCATTCCAAAGCTGTGCTTGACAATTCAGCAAGACAGTACGCAGTGAAATTGAATACCGTGCTAAGTTGTCGATCACTTCCACTGAACAGGATCTTATAGACTTGAGATCTTCAGATAAGCCTCTGAGAGCCCCAAGCATCTT